TTAGGGAATCTCGCTAATGCCTTGCCTCCTACAACAGATTTTTAATACCTCTCTCTTGCACACGTATCTTATTTCAGTTATTTCAGGTAATTAGATAGGTAGATTATATGGTTATAGTTAGACTACAATATGTAGTTTTATAATATAAACTATAATATGACTACAGTTATATACCTAGAGACAATATATCTGTCTAGTTTTATGACCACAACCACAAATACCATGGTAATACTTTCTGATCCAGAATTCATGAACATCTCCTACTAGATGTCACTTCAAACCTACACTCCTGAGGCCAGTTTCCAAGTTTACTGTCAGTACTTCGTCCATTACTATGCTATTGTACCTTACTTAATAACCCAGTATATCTAATTCAGACAAATAAGCATGCTACTAACTATGCATATATAAAAATGCCATTTATATAGAAAAAAATGAAACAAAGAAATACAACACTCTTTTATCACCACCCATCATACAAAAAACACCTTTACCTTCCTGTCTGCTGCCGAATCCATCCCCTCCCCCATTCCCATTGAGGTAACTATTATTCTGAGTCTTTTTTTCATCATTCTCTTGTTTTTCATTATAATTTTACCACATACAATCATACCCCTAAACAATATTTTATCTTTACATATTTTGAATTTATATTAATAAAATCATATTGTATGTATTCGTCCAAGATTTGCTTTTACTGTGCAACATATTCCTAAGATTCATCAATTTTCACTGCTGAGTAGTATTTTTTGTATGACTATACCACAATAGATTTATTCATTTTATCATCGGTAGACTTGTGTTTTTTCCAATGTATTTTTAATTCAAGCAAATGGTACTATAAATAGGCCCAATGGACATGGATGACAACGCATGCGTGATGAAGGAAATGGAATAGCGAGGTTACAGGTGAGAGCATCTTCAATTAAGGAGTCAATGACAAGTATTTTCCACAGACCAGGTAGGAAAGTATACCTGCAACACTGGTAGATATGTATTATAGTAGCTGCATGTTCCCACCTAAAATTGTTACTCTCAGACTTTGTAATATTTCCCAATTCTGTGGGAACAAATGCTTTTATATTTGGGTTATGGTTAATCTATTTCTGTTTACTAACGATGTTGAGCACATTCTCATTGGCCATTCCAGTCTGAGGTACAAGTTTATGTCTTTTGCCACTTCACTTTTTTTTCCTTATAAAATTATTTTTTATAATTTTCTTTTAAAATTATTTATAAATACATAACATTATTTTTAGTTATAGTCATTGGCAACGATTTTTTTCCCCTGGGTTGTGGGTTATCATTTCACTTTCTTCCTGAGGTCTTTTGATTTTAAAAAGGGGTTCTAAAAATCAAATGTAGTCAAATAATCCTTAGTGATTTCCTTAACAGAACTTCAATGTGTCTTATTTAAGAAAACTTCCCTACCCTAAAATCATAAATACACTCTCCGAATCATTTTTTTAATTTTTAAAAATATTTTTTCCCTTTCAAAGTTTAGGCTTTAATCTACCTGGAACGGATTTTTTATATAATGTGAGATAAGACTCCAAATAAATGTATTTCTACATGGACAGTCAGTCATTTCACCCCATTAAGTTAGGAGGGAAGGAAGGGGGAGAGGAAGGAAGGAAGGAAGGAAGGAAGGAAGGAAGGAAGGAAGGAAGGAAGG